ATACGGGGCTCTCTGGTGCCCTGTGAACCGTGCCAGTACACAAGACCGTTGTCCCCGAGAGAGTAGTTCGGGACGGTCTTGCCACTCCGAAGGGTCGCGTGGGTGTCGCGATAGTCGGGGCAATGGCGGTACTGAGTGCGAAACTTGTCGATCACCGAGTGGTGGACGGTGGTGACCGAGATGGAAGAGAGCTGGATCTGCTCCTGGTCGTGGTCAGGGCGCCGGGATAGGGCATCTGCGACCCGATTAGTCTCACCCTTGATGTGCTCAGTTGTGAAACTAAACTCGGATAGGTCGCGCCACCAGCGAGCCTGTCGAGGAGTGAGCTTCGGTTTTGTCATAAAAGCCTGGACAACAGAGTTGTCCGTGCGCACCGTGAACGGTGCCTCGCGCAGGTAGTGACGCCAGTGCCGAACGACATAAACTACTGCGAGAACCTCACGTTCATCAGCAATGTAGTTTATCTCGGCGGGCAGAAGCTGACGGGAGTAGAAGGCTATCAGACAATCACCTGAGCGAGACTCGACAGTGCCGTCCTCGGCGATGGTAGGAGAATAGTCAATAGAAGGCTCGTCAGTAGCTGGACGAGTAGGCGTCAGTCGGGAAGCAGTGGTAGGGGTAGGTGGTGGGAAGCGAGGGATACGAGGATGAGAGGAATCAGGAGAGGAGGGGAAGACCTGAGAAAGCACTGCTCCTACAGCGAAGTCGGACGCATCGGTGGTAAGGATAAAAGGGCGGTCAAAATCGGGTAGGTGAAGAACCGGTGCGCATGTCACCGCCTTCTTGAGGGCGCGGAAGGCGTCCTCGTGGAGGGGTGTCCAAGCCCTGGGTGGGTTCTTCCGAAGGAGGGTGGAGGTAAGGACGTAGGAATACCTAGCGTATCCCTGGATGAAATTACTATAGTAGTTGGTCAGGCCTAGGAAGCTGCGAAGCTGCTTGGCGGATGTGGGAGCGGGCCACTCCGCGATAGCAATGATCTTCGCGTCGTCCATGTGGAGACCCTGGTCAGACACATAGTGTCCTAAGAAATCCACTTTGTGTTGGGCAAAGCGGCACTTGCTCAGCTTGGCGTAGAAACCATGTCTGCGCAAGCGGTCAAGGACGTTGCGGAGGTGTCTGAGGTGCTCCTCAAGGGTACGACTGTAGACCAGGATATCGTCGAGGTAGACGAGAACGTACTGCTCCAGGATGTTCCTGAAGATGTCGTTCATCGCCCTCTGAAAGGCAGCGGGTGCATTGGTGAGGCCGAATGGCATCACTGTGAACTCGTTGTGGCCGAATCGCGAACGGAACGCGGTCTTCGGCTGGTCGGCTGCAGCGACGCGGATATGATGGTAACCGCTACGAAGATCAATCTTCGTAAAGAAGCGGTTGCCTGCTAGGCGGTCGAACAGCTCATCGGAACGAGGCATGGGGTAGTTGTTCTTAACCGTGTAGCGGTTGAGACCGCGATAGTCGATGCAGAGACGGAGAGTTTCATCCGCTTTGCGAGCAAAGAGGACGGGTGCACCCCACGGGGAGGTGCTAAGTTTAATAAAATCTAGTCTCAGGAGCTCCTCAAGCTGACGCTTGAGTTCGGTGGCCTCAGGGATCGAGAGTCTGTAGGGTGCCTGGTGGTGAACACGATAGTTAGGCACAAGCTGAATGGAGTGCTCGACGTCACGCATCGGTGGGATGTCGGCGTACGCGAACGACGATGGGAAAACGTCGTGGTACTCTCGGATGAGGTCACGAACTGCGGGCTCCTGGTCAGCCGTATATCGTGCGAGTTCCTCCGCGTCAGCGTCAGCGCACGACGGCGGGGTGGACTCGACGGATGGCGGAGGGACGGAAGTAGAGATGGGAGTCATGGAGATAGAAGGAGGATCTGGCTCCAGAGGGATGAGCTCGACGTCGGGACAGGGTGGATCATTGTGTAAGAGATCCGTCACGTTCACCATAAAGAAGGTGACGTCATCCTGTCTGATGAAGTGGGCGAACTGCCAAGGCGAGCTGACAGTGATAGAAGGAGGTGGTGTGGGCACGGAAGGCTCCGGGGGAGGAGGATCGGGGTGTGGTGTCGTGGTGGTACCTATGAAAGGTACGCGATACGTCTGTCTACACTTCGTTTTGAGAACGAGAGTGTTGGTCGCCCAATCGGCCTTGGTGCTGCAGAACCTACGAGACCACGGAGTGCCGAGAATGAAGTCGTACCCAGTCTCCATCACATCGAAATGTGTAGAGGAGCGGTGGCGACGAGACACCGGGGGACGATCAGTCGGCTCGAGAGTGAGGAAGAAAGGGAGATCGGTGACCGTCTAATCGAAGAAGCGCTGGGTCTTGTTATCCCCTAGGGTAACGGAGATGGGAATCGGAGACCCTGTCGTGGGTAAGCGGGCATCTTTCACCACGCGTGGGTGAATGAAGTCGCCCTGAGAACCGGAATCCCACAGCGCTGAGTACACCCTCGTGGAGGTCCCGAGTCGTACTGGGATGATCGAGAGGGTGCGATCAGGGTCAGAGAGGATGGTGAGAAGGCGACGCAGTGCAGCGACATGGAGGGTGAGTCACTCCTGACGAGCCTGGAGCATGCTCAAGTCCAGAAGAGAGGACACAATGTTCTCGCGGGTAGCGAGCTGCTCGCTGCAACGGGTTGAGCGAATGGCTCGACGCGTCGGTAGTCGCGGCGGGGACGGAGGGGAGACGGTGGTCTGTGGAGGCGCAGACGGTACTGCGACAGAGGGCTGAGTACACTCTGTCGAGTCCTGCGATAACTCAGCTCCTGTAGCGAGAGGGGCGAACCGCGACGGAGATGTTGGGAAGCCCACTACTGAGGAGGGCGCAGGTGTACACTGCACCGTGGCTAGGAGGCACCGCGGGGATGCGAGGCGTCGGGGGGGGACGAAGCACGACGTTGGCGGGAAAGGTCAGCGTAGTGGCGGTCAAGGGCAGTGGTGTAAGGGCACCGCGAGGAGGTATGACCGTCCTGACGGCATCGCAAACACCCACGCCGGCCCATAATAGCCGAGCGCTCCTCAACGGAAAGGACACCACGAGGAGGAACAAAGCCCTGAGGGAGGTCCTGCTGAGGGACCTCGGGGGCCGACGTGCCAGCGTGACCAGGGCGGCTGCGTGCCCGGGAAAGGGTGGAGAGGATAAGCTGGAGGCGCTCATCCATAGGGAGAGTAGGGTCCTCCAGGTGGTGCTAGACGGCATCGCCGAGGTCGAGGTCATCGTTATGATCACCCTCTGGCGACAGCGGGGCACCAGCGTCCTGCTCACCATACTCGAGCGCGTTGAAGCGGCGCGAGAAGTGGCGGCCCTGTTGCGTGGAACGGCGGGGCGACCGCGGAAAGGGGAACGGCGCTGGGAAGTGTCGTGAGAGGAGGAGGAGGCGTAGCCCGTGCGCTGAGGCTGGGAGGAGGAGGAGGGGTGAAGACGGGCTCGCATCCGCTGATGGTCCCTGGCGGCCTCGTAAGCCTGCGAGGCCGATGTGAACTCGTATCGTCATAGCTCAGAGCGGTACTCGAGCGGAAGGTTGGCTAAGAAACGATCGATAAGGGTCGCCTCAGGGAGGAACGCCATGTCACAAATGAGGCGGGCGTCCTGAAAGACCTGGATATGGCGATCCAGGCCAGCAGCGCCGCCAGAGCCAGAACAGCGTGTAGTGACGACACGCTCGAAGGCGTCAGTCACGTCATATCGGGCTCCGAAGTGATCCTCGAGGAACGCCTAGAAATCCATGAAGGTCGGAGTCCGACCCGCACGAACGGAGTAAGCGTAGAAATCCTCCCAGGCGTCGGAAGGACCGCCACGTAGGAGCGTGGAAAGGTGACCCACCCACGTGTCGGGTGTGGCACCCATGAGCTGGAGCGTGCGGGTGGCAGACTGTAGCCACCGAAACACGCGTATGCCTGTACCGTCATACAAGGCAATGTCCGTCAAGGGGCACCCGGGAGGTGTGGCAGGGGGAGACGCACGAGCGGCGCGAGGCATCCCACAAGGGGTCGAGCCAGATGGCGCTGCGGTCGTGCGAAGAGGAGGGAGAAGTGGGGCACCCAGAAAAGTTACGACCATGGTAGCGGGTTGTGGTACCATGGCCGTAGTGATCGGGGTCTGGGCGGGTGCGCCCGTAGACTGAGGGAGGACCTGACTCGTGGCGGCCGTCGTGCTAGGGGCGTGGACGGTCACCAAGATGGCCGGGTCGGGGGCAGCGGAGGAGGAAGCTCCACCGTGGCCACCCTGTTGGAGGACGGGGACCCGGACTGGGAGCCAGGAGAAGAGATAGTGTGAGAAGAGGAAGGACGACCAGCGTCCTGGTGTTGCCGCACGCCGGCGGCAAGGGTCACCACCTGCGCCTGTAAGGGCGCGAGGGTCGCGAGTTGCGCCTGGATGGGCGCAAGGGTCACGAGTTGCGCCTGGATGGGCGCAAGGAGGGAGGTGAGGAGGGTGTGCAAATCCCCCTGGGGTTGATGGCCCTGGTCCGCTGGCACGGGTGTGGAGCCCGATGTCGTGGTCATCGTCGTGTCGGCGGCGTGTGACCGTCGGTCATGGGGAGATGACGGACCGGGCTGGAGGGGGCCAGAAGAGGTCCGCGTGAGCGGAGGGCGTAGGGGGAAGTCCGCCGTAGAAAGCGGCGAACGGCGCTAGCAAGGCTAGCACGGGCGCCGTCAAAGGGGGAGGGGTGGTTCGGGTCCACGGTGCCCGAAGAGGACGGGGAAGTAGGGGGGGGGGTTGAAGAACCCTAAACCCTACAAAAACCCTAAGAAAACCCTAACCGAAGTTTGAGTGGTTAGGGTACGTTTCCGGTGACCTAATCAAGAAAGTAAAATGGCAAGCATAGGGGGGGGGAAGGAGGGAAAAAAAAAAAATAAACAGCGAGATTTCGAGAGAAAATAAGAATAAATAAGGAAATAAATAAATAATAAAAATAATTAAAAAAATGAGTAAAAAGATGTGAAGGGAAAACAATATTTATTTATTTATTTAGTTATTTATTAATTTTTTTGTTTTTGTTTTTTTTGAAAATTTCGGCAGCATTTCCCTACCCCCCACGGGGTCAAGAATGTGCCAAGGGGAAAGGAGAGACCAAGGTGAGCACACTAGGTGTCAAGATGCCGCAAATACAATTAAAAAAAAAGAAATTTCAGAAAAGAAATAAAGAAATAATAAATAAATAAATAAATAAATAAAGAAGTATATAAGTGGATGAGGAGGTGGGGAGGAATGAAGTATCTAATTTGTCAAAAGTTTTGGCAGCATTTCGTTACCCCCACGGGGTCAAAACGTGTGCCGAAAGCAAGAAAGGCTAACACTTAATCAAATTTAGGGTTGCCGCCAAGAAAGTCGAATTTTCAGAATAAATTTTAAAAATAAATGAAATAAATCAGGAAATCAGAAAAGAGGGTGGGAAAAAAGATGGTTCAATTTTTTTGGAAAAAAGGGAGAAAAGATAATCAAAAGAGAGAGAGAAAGAAGAAAAACAGGAAAAAAAAAATTCGAAGTAGGGGGGAAATGGGAATGAAAACGTGAAGGAGAAGGGAAAGAAATAGGGGGGGGAGAGAAAAAGATGAAATGGGAGGTGGGGGGATGATGTGGTGGTAGTTGGGGGAGAGGAGGGTTGGGGAAAGGTGGAGAGGGATCAAGAAGCAAGGAGAAAAGGAGGAAAGAAAAGAAGAGATGAAGTAAATAGAGTAAAAGAATGGGTGGTGGGAGAAAAGGTGGGGTGGGGGGAAGGGTATGAGTAAGGGGAGAGAGAGAGAGGCATGGAGAGTGGGTTAGTAGAGGAAGGGGAAAGAGAGAAAAGATACCTGGCCCTTGGTGTCTCCAAGGGCACAAGGTACACCAAGACCAGGAGGGTCTTGGCCTTCGCTGCAGCAGCCAGCTGGAGGAGGGAGGGGGCTGAGATCTTGATCAGCCCCTACTGCAAATCTGCAGATCTAGGGTATGCTGTGTGAGCATACCCTCACCGGTGTAGAGCAGCCCCTGAAACACAGGGGGTCTTCAAGTCCATAGCAAAGTGCCACGTGGCACTGCAGGTGGCCACGTGCACAAGCAACAGCAGCCACGGGGGGGGGGTAAATAGCAGCCTCTCCCGTCGCTGCCTTGCTGGCCGCTGCTCGCTGCTCCGGGGGGGGGGGGTAAATAGCCAGCACGGCACCTCTTCAACATGAGTGTGCCATGCTATAAGGTTATAGACACTCTGTGGTGAGTGTGTTATGGCAGTGGTACACGCACGTGCAAAACCAACAGCTGTCTGGGTTCAAACCCCAATAGCAGCATTTGCATCCTGGATTTTTATAATATAAATCCGGGGGCGGGGCACGTGGCGTGTGCGTGTGCGGCGGCCGGCCTTGGCCTTGGCGCGCACGCATCGTGACGGCTTTCCCTTTTTCGCCACGTGTTGCTCTCCTGCTGCAGCACTTCTTTTTCCCGCTTTTTCGCCCGAAAACGCCCGAAAAACAGCCAAAACCCGACTGTCGGGTTTTGATGTCTTTCCCTGTTGTGCGGTGTGGTGGGTGGGAGCGGGGAACGTTCCCGCTCTGATAACAATGTAGCGGACCCACCAGGTGTGGTGCTCCGCTAGTGGTAGAGATGGAGATGGAGGAAGAAGGGGGGAGCGAGATGGCACAACGCAGCTCCCGACGCAAGACTCCAACGCACGTACTCCAAAATGTGCAAGTGAAGAATGAGAACGAAAACAGACAACTGCTGGGGTATACCCCAGCGGACTGACGGGACTGGACTGGCTGGTACCGACAGAGGTACCAGCCTGGACTGGACTGGACTTCCCCCGAATAGAACACAGGCCTGTGAGAACAGGCCAAGGGGCTGGTCTCACTTGGCCTGTTCTCACAGGCCAACCAGAGGTCCGCTACATTGAGGACCTGGTAGGCGTGGTCCATGAGTGACAACTATCTGATACCCTACATATGGAAAAATGTCGATAGAAGGCCTCAAGTGGATATTCAGGCCCACCTTCACTTCGGGCGGGCACAATGCTTGCTGCGGGCCACAAGCATTTTCGTGTTTATTTTTCTGCCTACCATAGTTTTTTCCCCAAAATTTTCGTGGTTTTTTTTTTTTTTTTTTTTTTTTTTTTGCAGGGACCTTCCCTGGCCCTTGCCTGGCTGGCCGCTCAGGCAACCAAGGTGACCCTGCCAGCCCGGTTCGTGGCCCTGCCACCGTGTGCCTTTTTATTTCTCTCTTCTTTGTATGGAAGACAACATTAACCAGCACGTCTTTGCTTCCGGGACCACCTGATGATCCTATTACTGAATACAATGTTACGATCCTGGTAATTTCCGCAGT